ACTAATAAATGATTGATCATAAATACTTGATTTGAGTCCATGAATGTTCCAAGAGGCTACCTTGAGCTGCTCTTTGTATTTTTCCATTTATCAACTAAACGGGTATCCCCATGGTGGATAAGAGAATGGTATTGAAGGAAGATATCTGTTGTATATTTGTATAGTTGTATATCATATGAATATTAGTTCATTCAATATATCTGACCAATTATGTAAGGTTTCAATTTATTTAATATACCAAATTGAATTTGAACCACCAGACTAGAAATAAATGAAAATAGATACACTGATGTGTAATAAATTGGGAAAAATAACATGACTGAAAGAGTTATTTTTTTCAAAAGACCTTATTGTTCTACATTTAAAAAAAGTTGAGTGACCCATACATCCTGCAATAATGGAGATCGCACGATGATGTTCAGTGCACAAAATGTCTTGCAGCCACAAAATCTCAGGATTAGTCAAAATGTTTGTAATATAGCTAGTCATTACCTTATCCATATCATCGTAAATGAAGATAAATTTCAGTGTAACTAGCAAGAGCAATTTTCAAGATATGAGGTTAAATTTTGGCTAAAATAAAACATTTGTCAGATGTGGAAATGGTGACAGTATGGAAACATTTGAGTAATATGCTATCCAAGTTGTGTCAATTAAATAAGTGTAGTAAATCGATATGTTGTTTGAGTATAAATTAAAGTTATTGGGATTAAGGTAGAGATGCACTTTATTTGTGAATTTCAATCAAAAATAGTTTTTTTCGTTTTTTATATAGATTTTTATCTAAAGAACATTCTGTGAAAATTTGACCAATGAATTCTTATTGGAACACCGTTAAAATTGCTGTTTATTTTCTGGTTAAAAATAAAAAAACACTCACACGTGGCAATGTTTATGTCCAATTGCCTAATTTGCATGAGTAACCAAATAACAAGACCTTTGATTGACAATATGCAAATCGAGATTGTACGGGTCATAGTTCATTCAATTCACGCGCATGTGCAATTATTCTCAAATCAGTTCTCGCTCGCTAGCAAACCAAACATTATATTTCCTCAGCGTTTTTTCTTAATTTTTATCATTACATTATGCGTGGTGTGAAAAGAAAGAGAGGTAGAAATAAGATTCAGATGATTTCTATGTCGGAAGAGGCAAAAGCTACACTGAAGGCATCAGCCCACCGAACGAAAAACAAATCGATGTGAGCGTCCAAACATGACTTTCCCTGAAGGCATGAATCCGAGTTTCTGATTCACTGAGAGATTTTATTTTTAAATAATTGTTCTCAAAAAATAAACTGAGCATGTGAAGAATAATTTAACATTGTTTACAGTGATAACTGCTCATAGTCGAAACGAAGCTTAACCATTCACGTCACAATAAACATCATACTCTTGAATAGGCGTCAATGTCTACGGTAAAACTTAGACTCTATTTTAGGCATCAGGAATGATTGAAATGTCCGAAAATTATGTCAAAATACACCTTAAAAGTCCCATTTTATTTTTTTCTAAATCCCATCCCAAATTTACGGCAGAATCTGGTCCCTCAAATAAGGGACACGTGAGCTTTGATTCTAACCGGATATATTGCACTGGGTCGGGGAGATACAAACTTTTGTGTATCTTTTGTCCAATGGGTACCTGTACTTCGATCATTCGCGAGTTTTACTCGTTTAATTCAATGAAGCAAACAACTGACAATGCTAAAATAAATTGCAGAGGTACGCTAAAATTAATTGAAAACAACAAAATAATTTCAATGAAAAATAAATCACGGAGAGAGGTAACTTCATACATTACGCATTACGGTAACAACTCTTTTGACGCGCTGACCGCTTCTCCATGTCTGATGTTTTGTTTTCCTTATCATAATACTTACTGATTGATGATTTTGTTTTGATTTTTTAGTTTTTTAGCCTGCAACTCGGCCACGACCTTTGCTTTTTCCGTGAAAAATGGGGAAGTTTACGTCAATTTGACGGACATTCCATTTTTTTAAACTAACGAAGCACACTGTTTAGCACTCCCATTTTT